AACACTATTGATTTGCATAGTAAAACGTAAGTTTTTTTTTTTTTCCTCTACTTCAAATCAAATGAACGCAGGCTTGGTAAGCAGAAGAGATTAAAAAAATAAAAAATAAAAATCTTACTGTTCTAAAACTTTTGAAGGGTAATGTGTGTATTTTACATTGTTGCCCACTTCCTTAGTAGAGTTGAGCTTGGATGGTAGGCTACCTGGGTAAACAAGGGTGGCCTTGGAAGTGGTGTTAGTGACAGGCCAGTTGGGGGCGATTACCCTGTGGTCTATGTGGATCCTATTGTGCCCTAGTATATAGTGATGGGGACACTATAATGTATGAAGCTCTGACCTTCAGATGAAATGTTAAACTAGGGTACTGATTCCCTGAGGCTGTTTAGGGTTTCTGTCCTCGCTACTGTTACTGATAGAGCTATGTGTTGTATGTATGTATGTATGTATGTATGTATGTATGTATGTATGTATGTATGTATGTATTGTATGTATGTATGTATCACATTTATAACAGCATAGTTCAGTGCTGGATACACTAGTCAAGCATAATCTGCCTTTGCCTTGACTCATCCATTAAAGTCTCTGCATTGTCCTCTATCCGTCAGATGACAGTACATTTTAAACTGAATATGATTAATTTAAACAATTTAATTTCAGTTAGCTTTTTATAGCTTAACAATAAAACAAACTAAAAAAATGTTATATTAAATTTAAAATGACAGTCTTTAAACAATCGATCCCCATCATTCTTCTCTCTTCTCAGATGGGATTGTGGGCCAAATCAAAGGTTACCATGGGCCAACTTTGGCTTCGGGCCCTAGTGTGGGCATTGTGACACACAAAAGTATTCTGCATACCATAAATAAAACACTGATCAATCAGCATATAGGACCAATCCTCAGGTTTATAATTCTTTATAAATCTTTATGGTTATAATTCTTTGTGTGAATAAACCTTGACATGCATGATTAATCGAAAGAATGATAATCATACCAAGTGGATTAGAGGACATCTGCCAGCACAGGACATTAGTGAACTTCACTATATTTACTAACTTTACTCTTTACTTATCTCAACTTGGATACCAAATGAGTGATTTTTTATTGTGATCATAAGATTCAATATAGAATACCTGCTTGGACCTTTAGCATTATCAGACCAAGTCAAACCATCTTATCCCCCCCCACATACACACACAATGACAATTACACACTTTCAGCGCGCCTCGCTCTATCTGCAGTGCAGCTGCAGTCTGTTTTTAGCCATTTGGTCTAACAGACACAGAGAAAAGGAAGAGAAAGAGAGGGAGGCAGACCAACAGGTGGAGAAGAAAGGTGGGAGAAATGTGAGGAAGAAACAAGGTGACTGAAGAAAAAGGAAATGGGAGAGGTTCAGTGTTGTGTTGCCTGGCAACCGACGTTGTTCCATCTGGGGGGATGTTGCAATTTTACTGCAAAGACCAGATTACATCGTGTCAGGTGCAAGCCACTGTCCCACACATACAAACAATACCTGCGCAGATAGACTTTTACTCACACTACTTCTCTTACTCATACAAAATAAAATAACACGAACGAGCATGTTAAAAATATGATTAATGCTACACAGAGAGAGATCAGACACGCAGGGGCCACTCGTCTGTAATTAGTCTGATTGTGTGTGTCTGCAGCTGCTTCTGCATTCACACTGGAGGGTTTTCATGTACATAGAAGTGTGCATGTGTGTGTACTGAGTCTCACAGTAGATTAGCTATATGATGCCTTTTCTCTCACTCTCCAGCTTTTTAGATTGTGGCTCCAGCATTTGTAAAAAAAAAAAAATAATAATAATAATAAAAATTAGCAGCTCAAATAAAAGATTGTAGGGTTTAAAATCTGAAGCTAAAAATAAAATGGTTATATACACACATATATACATATTTATACACACACACAAACACACACACACATACGTACGTACATTCTATATTATAACTCAAAGCTATTTACACATTTGGGGGTCTTTTCTACCACCAGCAGTGTGCAGCTGCAGCATCCACCTGTCTAGACCACACACCAGCTCATTTTTGGAGAGGAGACAGAGTTATGATGCCAATTAGCAGATACGGGGATGTTAGGAAGTTTACCAATGGGCAAATTTGGCCAGGATGTCAGGAACACACCCTTCTCTTTTCAGAGAGTCAGGGGCCTCAGTTAAACATCTCATCCAGTGCCTAGACTGCAGCTCCACGCAGGACGTTTGGCCAGAGGAGAAATTGTCATGCCCAACAGAGCCTGGTTTCTCCCGAGGTTTTTTTTTTTCCTTCACTTTCATTAATTGGTGAAGTTTTTTTCCTCGCCACTATCGCTATTGGCATGCTTGTTTGCTGGTTTGGGACCTGTAGAGTTGTGCATCAATGCATTTGCTCTTCAGTGTTTGGACTTTGAGCAGTGAAATTTAAACCACACTGAACTGAACTTTAACTCTGAAATCTAGACTTTACTAGAACTTTTATTTTAAGCTTCTTTGACACAATCTATATTGTAAATGCGCTAGAGAAATAAACATGAATTGAATTGAATCCAAAGGATGGTGCTAACTGATGGTACAGTGTCCCAATCACAATACTGAGGCACTAGGATCCACACAGACCACATGGTGAGCACTACCTGTCAGCCTCACTAACACCTCTGTCAGCAACAACTAATTTTTACAATGTAGTCACCCATCCAGGTACTGAGTAGCCTCAACCTTGGCTTCAGTGGGCAAACATGCGATAGTGTAAAATGACTACTCAAAGACAACATGATGGATATTTCATAAAACTGAAATGAGGATCTTGTTAGGGCTGTAAATGTATTTTTTTTTCTTACCACAGTGATGATGCAAAAAACATCGTGTGGCTATCTGCACCCTCATACACCCACCATCCCACTCCTACATAAAACAGGATGGGAAACTCTCTTTATTAGTTATTTATTTTTCCCCAGAAGACTTAAAACATACAAAAATTATGTTAGGTTATGACAAGCTATGATTATTGTGCTTATAGTTCGTATCTCATATGCTCTCCTGTAACTTTCACCAGCAAAAAAATAAGTGTGGTCATGACAGGAATGACTTCAACACTGCGGATGGTATCTTATAACTGCAGCGAGGTGGTTATTGTCACAGCCCCATATCTAGCAAAAGAAAACTATTTTCAGCTGAAGGGCATATAATATTGTACGAAAACACAGCTGTGAGCAGTTTTCAAAGCACACAATTTAAAAAAAAAACTATACAATTATAGTTTCTGTGTAAATTGCAAAAGCATGATTTTCCAAAAACAGTGACATCATGTGTGTGAGTTCACAAAGATGCAAACTAAATTCATGTGCAAAGCTGGAATATCTCATAAACGATTTGCAAATAATGCAGTGTTTCCTTTCAATGAGTCAAAGAGAACAAAATCGTCACTTCCTAATAAACTGGCAATTTTTTTTACATTTTTTTTCTTGTTGAATAAAAAATGTATCCTACTCAGTTATGTGCATATGTTTTTTACGCATATTATGAAAAAATATGTAAATCTTGGTGTTTACATCCAAAATGAGCATAAAAATAAAATGGGAGGAAAACAACTACACTGTCAATATTTTTGCTGCTTGTTCAAACTACTTATTTATAATGATCTGAATCATTATAGATACCCAGATTGTCTTTTACTCCGCGTGTACAGAATTTACAACACATGTACAGAATCTGTTTGGGAAACAGCATCTATTTATCACTATGGAGCACGTCTGACAGTCACGCACCGCTACATGAACTGACTGTTTTAAGGGTTGCATAGGAGGGCGACGGCGCCTGTAAAGTAACGGAAGTGAATTGTGCCATTCTTATATTTATTTCAGTGTTTTCAAGCCTAAATAAAATGAAAGCACAAAACAGATTCACGATTAACGCCTATGCACACGGGGCATCAGCTTCAACAATTCCCATTCACTTTTTGCTGCTTGTTCAAACTACTTATTTACAATGATCTGAATCAACACAATTCTTACGTTTTTTGGGGGACAACTTAATTGTTTTCTGTTCAATCAACTTAAATTTGTAAAAACAATTTAGTTAACTTAATCAATTTGTGACAACATGAAGGAACTTTTTTCAGTGTATTTTTGGAAACCTCTATTTTTGCAGATTTGTGTGGACAGGGATCTTTGATTATTCAAACTGTAAAACGATTATATAATCATAAAAAAACATGTAGAAATGTAATTTGTCCTATACGTCCAATTTTCACTGCTTTGCCACCATTAATAGTTAAAAAAGAAATCAAAAAAAGTCTTTAAGACCAAGTGGAATCCTCGTAGGACTTTAGTTAATCAGTTTTGGCCAATGCAAAGTATTATTTTTCATGAGTTCAACATCCAGCTGTGCAAGAAAAAATCTGACATAAGCAAAGTGAAATTTTGCAACTGGGTTGTTTTTAAATAGAGAAAGAATTTGACAAGTAACTTTTATTCTAATTCTTGGACCTTATTCTTGAAAGAAAACATGACCAATAATAAAAGTGTGAAGCTCTCAATTATTAGCATTATTATTTTTATTAATATTGTTGTTGTTGTTGTTATGTAAAAAAAAGTTGGCCAAACTGTAACTGAGGAATGTTGAACGTGCTGGCCAGTTTGTTATTTGCCTAATAAATGACAATACAGGCTACAGTTTTTAATAAACATTATCATATTTCATTAATTCTAAATATTTAGGAAACTATTTGGTACATCAGAAAGTGTGGTTATGACCATCCAACAAAATTAAGTTTAAAATATCACCTAAATTCAGTATTTAAATTTCATAATTAAATAGAAAATGAGGTGAATAACTGCAAAAATGCCCACTTTTTGAGAAATAAAGAACCACTCATTTCACCAAGCTGGCTACGGGCCTGATTTTTTTACTGGAATATTGTGCTCTGTAATCTCCTTCACATGGAACAGCAGATCTCAGTCTCATGGCATATCTGTGCTTCTTTTCAGCTCATCTCCAGTGATGCAGATGGGGCCATACAGAGAGCTGGCAGATTCAGAGTGGAGAATGGTTCAATCGATGAAGTAAGATACTTATCAAATATTTTAGTCTTATATCTGTGAGTGTGTGCACTATATGTGCTGGCTTATGATACACATGTACAGCAAGTGTCATAAAACAATTATGAAAACTGACAAGCTTGAAACGAAAGGCACTGTATGTCATTTTTATCAATAGAGAGTGCATTTTCACAACAAGCAAAGGCATAGTTAGATGACACGTGACTTGAGTGTGGAATCATGGGAGTTATGGTCTCAATTACATCCTATGGGACTCCAGAAATCATGCTCATGGATGAACTAAAGTAGAAGACACTAAAGAAGAACTAAAGTCCAGTCTTACTATCATGGTACTGTAGTTTGAAGCATAGTAAGACTGAAATGTGTCGAAGCAAAATGAGATGTTGAAGCAATTGCTGATAGGAGGCGAATGCTTTTAAGTTGACCACTTCCAGTTCATGATCACAGGCTGTTTTATACTAAGTTTACTTATGCTATATGTAAAACACACAACATATTAAAGTCTTTGGTCATTCCCTGTTTTCTATACAGACAAACTGAAAAGCAAAGGTGTATTATTAGCATATGTGAAAATAAGGGATACTCAACCCCTAAACCCGTCACTTTAAAAATGCACAGATCTATTATGAACGCATTTGATTGTTTTCCTGTATGTTATGCTCATTTAAGACCAAATTTATTGTGTTAAAAGGAAAACCTATCAAGATCGACATGTTTAAATATTATTTTTATTATTGTGTATATGTCTGTTTAAACATCCACCCAAAACCCAGATTGTCCACTTTTACTCCGCGTGTACAGAATTTACTACACGTGTACAGAATCTGTTTGGGAAACAGCATCTATTTATCACTATGGAGCACGTCTGACAGTCACGCACTGCTACATAAACTGCCGTTCTTATATTTATTTCAGTGTTTTCAAGCCTAAATAAAATGAAAGCACAATTCACGATTAACGCCTATTCACACGGGGCGTCAGCTTCAACAATTCCCATTCACTATGAATGGGTGACGTCAGGCGTTGCCGAACTGCATTGTGGATCCATCGGTGCTGCCTCAGAGGCGTTGTTCGCTGCAGATGTTGCGACTTGCTCAACTTTATAAGCGCAGACGAAAGCATCAGCCAATCAGATCGCTGTATGCAAATACACCAGCTCAGACAGTGGCCTATTGCTGACTGATTTCATTAGCTGACCCTGCTATGACGATCGCATCAGCCCCAACTTTAGACACGACCTCTGTCAATCGATGACGCTGAAGCCTCGTTTGAATGGGACGTAAGAGCTAGCGGTGCTCCTTGGTGGTTCAGCGGTATGGGTTGTGTATAGGGAGGATCGGCTCTTTAATGTTTATTGCCACCCTTCCTAAAAAGATTGAAAATACTTAAGAAATACAGGAAACATTCTTTCCAGGATGATAGCAGGATAGAATTGTAAAATACAGGAGAATCCCGGAAAAAATAGGAGGGTTGACAGGAATGATCATTAGCATGGCAGCACAGGATATGGACTGTGTAACTAAAATTGCTTATTTCTCTGAATTTGAACATCCTTTGAAACATTTGGGAAAATGCAAGTATAACTGAAAAAAGTGTTGCATGCAGAACTGTTGCAAACAATTTCTTTGTGTTGAATTTAAACAAACAAATTAAGTTTAAT